ACCCTAAACTACCTCTAATGTTGGGCTTAGGGGCAAAAAGCCCAATTTTTCCTTCTTCCCTCATTCTCGGCCCAAGCCCAAGGAAAAGGAGAGTTGACTTGGGTTGCCACCTCACTTTACATGTTGGACTTCCATGCATATAACTCATGTTTCCAAGCAAACATCATTCAAAGATCACTTCTTTTCTCTCTTCTCTTCTTGTTCGGCCGAGAGCAACACCACACACACCAAAAATATCTCATTTCTCTCTAGATTCACTCAAGAACTCTCCTTCCTCCCCTCTCCAAAAATCTCGAAAATTAGGGACTTTCCAAGAGGATTTTGCAAGTAAATCATCATCTAAGGTAAGATTATGCATAGATCTATGGTTTAAATTCTTTTGTTATCAAAATCCTTTCCTAATCTATGCAAAAATCGTGATCTTGCACCCTAGAACCATCTCAAAACTCGAGATCTTCATCAAAGGGAGCCAAGGCCAAAAACACTTCATTTTTCCTTCCATTTTCCTTGCAAAAACCGAACCAACACCCCAAGGTGAGCTTCATACCCCTATTTTCTGTTTTTATGAGTTTTGTGGGGGGGAATACAAGTGAAAGTGTAGATCTATATGTGTTTGTATGCCTTGTATGATTTCCATGCTTATATGTATGCTTTTATGTGTTTTTATGTTGGATCTAGCCTCAAAACTCATCAAAACCGAGATATAACTTGTGCTACATGATTTTTACTTCAAATATATTTCTAAACACAAAGTGCTTCAAGAAAAATGGCTAAGTAGTTTAGTAATAATTTCTTTGGGTTAAAAACACAAATTTTGGGCCTAAAATGTGAAAAATGCAAAAATAAGGGCCCAAATCGTCATTTCACAGATTCTGATGGATGAAGTGTGCCAAAACAGTTTTCATAAGTAAATTTCTGGAAATATACTCATTTAGGGGACTAAAATCATAAATTTTAAGCTTAATGGGCTAAAAATGTAACTTTCGGCCCAATAAGGCCCATTATGCGAATTTTTCTGTTTTGGAGGGCCAAAACTGTAACTTTCTGTAAAACAGTGGACTATAAGTGTTCCAACCCTTTTCAAAGGTTAAAAATGCTTTTTAAATTTAAAAAGGACCAAAGTTGCAAAAATTTTCCAAATTGGGCCAAAATTGTAAAAGTTGCGAAAAGAAGGGGTTAAAACCGTGAAAACTGCATTTTAAGAACTTAAACTGTTTTTATGAAAAACATGTTGAAAAATATTAATTTCAATAATTTTTGGTGTTAAAATGTCAAGAAAAATAGTTTAAGGACTAAACCGGGAAGTATTTAATATAAAGGGTTAAAAATGTAAATTTTACAAATGATGAGGGGCTGAAAACAGGAATATTTCAAGGCTAGTTCAATATACACAATTTGATCGAATGATGGCACCACGACTATCAACGAAATACAATACATTACAATACCAAAAGTCGTTGTTAAACGAATTGGCTCGGTCTCGAGCCAATAAAAATCTACAACTACTAACACTACGATTCATACAAGTAACGTTTGGTTATACATACACATGCGAGTGTGCACAGACGTCTATGCACCATCTTTGGGCCCCACAAGTGTAAAATCTTGTTCGTTGAGCCTAGCTAGCCCAATGACCTGATCTTAAGGCCCGAAGACATTTTTTTTACGGAGTGTTGGGTTTTACCGATCCGACACAACGTAAATGGACTTTCAATGGCTTGTATACCACCGGTCCCCAAGGGTCCTTTGGTCTTGCTAGTAAGGTCTACATTTCATGCGAGGCGGGTCTGGGACCCCTCGTACATTTTATCCCCAACCGGCTAATGGAGTTACCGGGGTCTTCGTGACCTCTTTCTCTTCGGATGTGGGACTTCACCTAGTCAGGGCGATTGGATAACGCGATTAGTACTGACGACGCCTTCGGAGTCGTTAGTATAACTATAAACTGGGCGTTTGTGTAACGCGGGTTTGTAGTAAATAATCCTGCTCGAAAACCTTCCAACGTCGCCGGGACTGACACTATACGCTATGCAATGGTTTCAATGTAACATCACGTAATTCAAGGAACTAGGAGAACATCGGGTTTTCCTAGGGTTTTCAATACTTACAAATTTGAAATGCATACATTCTAAATGAACATTTTTTTTTACAAGTATAGAAACAAACAAGCATACCTATGGATCTTCACAAACGTTTTCGAAACTTATCTTTTCAGAAAATATCGGATTTTCTGGTGGTTATTCAAACAATACAAACATTCGATTTCAAACACTACTTATGAACTCACCAACATTTCATATGTTGACGTTTTTCAAAATACTTGTATTCTCAGGGAACCAGTGAATCAAGAGAGATCATTCAGTGACGGTTGCGGTTTATTTTTGTATGAATTGAACAAATTAATTTTTGGGGAATGTAATGTCTAACAATGTATGATATGTAAACACTACTGGTTGTACTATGTTGATGAATGGTGACGAATGTTGTTATGTTTCATATATATCCAATGTTATGGTATTCAATTGAGTCACGACAGCCCCCGGACGTTTCCGCCGTCTGGTTCGGGGGTGTGACAGTACATATCTTTCTTAATGCACGTGAAGGTGTCAGGATTGGTTATTTGCGGATTATGAAAGAAAATCAGTAGGTTGGAGAAACATTTTTTAACACCTCATTGAAGGAACTCAGTTTCACAACTTTACATAATTTCTCAAAATTAAAAGGCTTGTCCAATTTAAATGAAATTTGTATCCATTAATCCGCAGAGCTGTTTGCAAGTATGCAGAGCTTGTTGTCAGTCTGCAGAGTTGTTTGTCATTCCGCAGAGCTGTTGGTCAGTCCGCAGAGCTGTTTGCAAGTTTGCAGAGCTTATTGTTAGTCTGCATAGCTGTTTGTCAAAGCAGGGTCCTTTATCTTATTTAAATCATCATTCATTCTTCAATAAACTCACACCTTTATTCTGAAATGGCCACTAATGTACCAACTTTTTCAAATGCAGCGCCATCAGCCGATGCTCCACGTCCATGGACGACAACAGAGGTGATGATCCTAACATGATATTGGATGAACGTTAACAAGGATGTGACACCAATAGCTCTGCCTCATTGCCTTATAGGTGATGAATGGACCCGCATCACAGGTTTGTTCAACCATGAGATGGTCAGATGGGAAAAGAACAACACCGCCTTAAAGAAGATGTTGTTACTAAGTGGATGGAATTAAAGGAAAAAGTCACATGGTTCAATCGTTGATATAATTATATTAAAAATATGCCACATTTTTACGCAGATGATGAAAAAATTTACAAGTTGTTAAAGAGCATTACATTATGGAGCGTGATGAAAGTGAGTTCGAATATGATGACGTTTGGAATGTAGTGAAAAAAAACAAGTATTTCATGTAGACTGTAATATTTTATGCGTAATGTTTGCTACTACATTATCTTATTATTTGTAAGGGTTGTCTCATCTGTTTCCATGTATTTGTAGTGTTTATAGTTTTTGGAATAAAGTGTTTGTATCTGTTTCCATGTATTACACAGACGATGAAAACAACCTAATAAAAACCAATTACATAAAAATAACCTTATACAAAGTAGTACGTATAAATAACCTTAAAATAACCAAATACGTCTAAATAACCTAATAAAACCAACTACATCAAAATAACGTACTACAAAAAACATTAAAAGTACGGGAGATCTTTTATAAGACTCCAATAGGCTTCATACTCGAATTCCGACCCATCACTAATGGATTTGTATTCCTCTTTCGACGCCTCCAATATCACTTCACCGTCTTCATTGAGCCATTCATCATCAATTTTGTTATAAAGATCGTTGATTATCAAAATTTCTGTTTTTTACTTCATACCATTTAGCTGTGACAGCAACAATGTTACGATAGTTTCTTGCAATGGTTTGAGGATCAGCGTTGTAGGTATAAGTTAAACGGGTCGAAAAACTTGGATCATTCACACTGATGCTCTCGTACACAGTAATATACACATGTGTTAGACGTACGATCTCGAACCCATTGTGAGTGAAAATGTGATGGTGTCCAGAAAAAATGAATGAAAGAAATGGTGAAAATTAGATAAAATCATACGCATACTAAAGTGAATTTATAGTAAAATATTAGTACTGCGGATCGAACACTATTTGATACATAGTAGACGAAACAGTACTGCGGAATTAACAGTACTATGCTGCGGAGTTGATAAAATAGTAATTCAAATCGAACCAGTGCTGCAGAATTAATAGTACTTTGCTACGGAATTAACAATACTCTGTAGGAATATTAGGTTTTTTTTTTTTTTTTTTTTTTTTTTTTTTTTTTTTTTTGTCTTATACAAACTTCATAATAAACACATTTTAAAATAAACATCATTCATTCAATTTTTGTAAAGAGTTGCATTTTTTTATAACATGAGCTCATCTTCAAATTTCTATATTTGCATTTTTAGAAGTTGGTGCATTGGAAGCCATTTTTATATTTTTCAATACCAGGATGAGTTGATATAATATTTAACTGGTATGACAATTTATACATTGAACCGTATAGGTGTACACTTATCCTTATAAGTGTACATTGATTCGTTGATAACAGTTCTGTGGATTCTCAAATAGTTCTATGGACTGATATTAAACATAAGTTTATTATTTTTATCATTTTTTTGTCAATTTTATTACATAATAATCACATAATACATTACGTGAATAAAATAATAATAATAATATTAATAAACAAAAAAAATGAAAAGAAAATTACAAAACCCAATATCGATAGAGGTGTTCCATTTTCTCAAACTCGATCCGCAGAAGGTGCTCTGCGGATCCTATTGGTCAGATTTTTTTCATGGTCATTTTCTTTCGGAAAACGCTTCTTTTTGGCCATTTAATGAATTTTTTCAATAAGAAAACTCATGTTCGTTCGTTGTCGAGTATACTTACGTCGGGAATTCGTAGCATGACAACCCAATTCAGAATGAGCCCATTAAATTTGAGCCCAAGAATTAAAATTCTTAGCCCAACCTATTTCTTCCTTCCCTTCGTTTTTATTTCTGGCCACCCAAACCTCTATTTTCTTTTATTCTTCTTTTGTGAATCGATCCACATATCTCAAAGCCTCAAACACCAAAATCTAACCCTAAAATCCGTATATCTTTCTTCCTTCGTTCACGCCAATCGTCTTCAGGAGTAGGCTTCCCAACCCCATACACTGAACCCTGACTCGTACCCTTGAGGTATGTTAACGATGAAGACATACAACATAAGCTTGTAAGCTTCCATTGTTGAGAATGAATGGCTGCGTTCACACGAGATATTTATTATTTAAGCCACTTGTAAATTACTCTGCTGTTTCCCCATCATTGGGCAGAATTTACCTTCAAAACAGTGCCACCTCTCTCTCTCTCTCTCTCTCTCTCTCTCTCTCTCATCGCCGGAACCCCAACTGAGCCATGTCCGACTACAGCCGCCCCGACAACGGATCAGGCTGTTGCAGGTGTTGTTTCAGCTTCATACTAACCTTAGGTCTCACTTCACTCTTCCTGTGGCTAAGCTTACGCACTTCAAATCCAGTTTGCTCCATCCAAGACGTTTACATTCCCGCCCTCAATAAAACCCGAAATTCAACCTCCGATCAATCCATCTACCTCGATCTGAAGCTCGACAACGAGAACAAAGACAAAGGTATTTACTACGACCCACTCAACATTACTTTACATTATTACATCAACCAATCAAATGGAAATGGAATCCCTATTTCGAATTACATGCTCAAAGGGTTTTATCAAGGACATCAGAAAAAAACACGCCGGAAAAACTGGACGGACACGCAAGGAGTGCCGTGGGATGCAGCCGTGAACATCACTGGTGGTAGACCGCCGGTATTCAGGGTGGATTTGGCGACGGCGGTTAGGTTTAAGATATTATTTTGGAAAACAAAGAGACATCGACTCATACTTGGGGCTGATTTTGAAGTTAGTGACAGGGGGCAGAAAGTGCAAAAGAAAGGTACACGGTTAAAATCCGGTGCACCGGAGTTGTTTTCCGGTAATTCTTGTATAGCTTCCTCATTGGTTGTATTTTGTACATTAGTATTGGTGTTCATTTGAATTGAATGCAAGTCTTTTTGTATTATTATTATTATTATTATTATTTTTATGTATTGTATAGCTTCTTCATTTTGTATTATTATTATTATTTTTATGTATTGTATAGTTTCTTCATTGGTTGTTTTTATTTTATCTTGGTATTGGGGAATGTAAGTCTTTTTGTATTATTTTGTGTTATTATTTTTATATATTTTTGTATGTGGATTTACGTTTTCAAAGCAATTCTGTTATTAGATTTAGATCTTGCTATACGATTATGCGTAAAATGTAAACATTATTGTTGACTTAAGATGAAGTTCATTTTAACTTTGTTGTTGATCGTTAGGAATAAAGAATAGAGTTTAGTTTAATGTAAGTTCCATATAATTTACTTACATGAACAAGCGTACAAATACAAACAAAGATATCAGTATTACTTCTAGCTTGTCTTAATGATAATTCAACCAAGAGTGCTTTAAAGATTCTATCTTTTTTATTTCGAGGATTTATGTTGAATGTATCCAAAAATATCATTTGTCCAAAAGATAAAGTATAATTCTTTAATATCTTCAAAATAAGAATCTTGTATTGGTTATAAATAAATAAAATTAAAAAAAAAAAGTATTCATACATTTCGATAAAGTTTTATGAATCATTTGGAACCTATTATAACCATTAATGATAAGTGATAACGTCATAAGAATAATAGAAAGCTAAATTAGCTGTAATTCATGTTAACATATTAAAAGAAATTGAAGACATTAACAACTTTACACAATTACCAAAAGTAATTAAGAAATTACATATAATTTGTAGTTCTTATGGATGGTCTTAAATCTAGTAACCTGATCAAAGTGTACAATAAGCATTCACAATGGATTTCAAGCATAGAAGTAGATACAATCATACAAACATACAAATAACCTTGAAACATGCACACATGAACCATTCATAATATAAAGATTGAACATAAAGTAAAATCAATATCAATATATGACTAAAATATGATACTTTGTTAAAATCACTATCAAAATGAAGCCCAATTTTGGAACAATTGATAACAAACACACAGAAGCCTTGTTAAATATTGGATCATACAACATACCTTTATTAAAATTCTTCGCGATTATCTTTGATTTGGCAACAATTGGAGTCTTATTTTGAGTGGATTAGGTATACTCGATTAAGAGCCCTAAGGCTTATTTTGAGCGGATTAGGTAGAAAAATTCATGAAGGAAAGTTAAGCAATACTCGATTAGCTGCCCAGTCACGAGGCACCCAAGGAGGAGAACCAGAGCCACAAGAAGGCCGATTGTCCGAGTTTGACAACGGTGGGTCTAGTTGCAGCGCCGGCCCCGGTGACATTGAGGATTACTGATGGCCGCTAGGACAATGCGGATGTTCTGGTTGTGAGGAGCATGACTGGCTGAAAACCGAGGAGGCACGAGTAGTGCCCAATGTGGTCACAAGTATGTATTTTCTCCTTATACTTTTTATTTATGTTTATGATATACTACTTATGTTTTGTTATTGTTTTAGAATTGTACTGTGTGAACGGTATTTCTGCCTTAGTTGTGTTTGATTCTGGAGCTCCCCGATCTCTTGTGTCTCTTGCGCTTAGCAAGAAGTTTACGGATGCTCCGGGGGAACTTCCATTTTTGGTGGAGATCATCGACGTCTGTCTAATGATATGTAAATGGGAGCCAACGCTTTGCCACATCATTTGCATACAATTTAAAAAACAAGAGACAACAACCAGCACTACAATATATCATCAATAAAAATGGTGTTTATTTAATAAACTAGATGTGAGACCCATATATTACATGGGTTATATATATATATATAATATATATATATATATATATATATATATATATATATATATATGTCAAAATATGTGAGAACTTTGAATTTATAAGAAAATAAAAAAGATAGAATTATTATAATAGAAATGTTTTTTATCTTTTAAATTTAAACAAATACTAATTTAAATAAATAAAAAAACTAATAAGCTTTAATTTTGAGAAATTTGAAATTAAAAGTTAAGTTCATTAATGAAATTGATATCCATTTATTGCAAGTATTAAATTAAAATATTATGTGGAATTAAATAAAATAGAAAACTCATAATCAGAAAATGACATTTGACAAATTAAATGAGAGTGTGACATGTGACAAAAAACTTTTATTTATTAGAAAGGATTTGATCACTTTAGAGGTATTTGGTACAAAAAAAATATGTACATGGAGAACAACCGATTACCCTCTCAATTCATAAACCTTTAGATAAGGAGGGAAGGGGGGGGGGGGGTGTGATATTTCCACGTTAATTTTTTATCCTTCCACTGATATTTATATTATTTGACAATTATACCCTTATTTTAATTATAACTATCAAAGAATGATAAAGCTTCATCCTTTTTGTTTCAAAACCTGCGTCTACTCCCCTCTCTCTCACACATAGAGATAGATCTCTTTCAATTCATAAACCTTTAGATAAGGAGGGAAGGGGGGGGGTTGATATTTCCACGTTAATTTTTTATCCTTCCACTGATATTTATATTATTTGACAATTATACCCTTATTTTATAACTATCAAAGGATGATAAAGCTTCATCCTTTTTGTTTCAAAACCTGCGTTTACTCCCCTCTCTCTCACACATAGAGATAGATCTCTTTCAATTCATAAACCTTTAGATAAGGAGGGAAGGGGGGGGGGTGATATTTCCACGTTAATTTTTTATCCTTCCACTGATATTTATATTATTTGACAATTATACCCTTATTTTAATTATAACTATCAAAGGATGATAAAGCTTCATCCTTTTTGTTTCAAAACCTGCGTCTACTCCCCTCTCTCTCGCACATAGAGATAGATCTCTTTCAATTCATAAACCTTTAGATAAGGAGGGAAGGGGGGGGGGGGTGATATTTCCACGTTAATTTTTTATCCTTCCATTGATATTTATATTATTCGACAATTATACCCTTATTTTAATTATAACTATCAAAGGATGATAAAGCTTCATCCTTTTTGTTTCAAAACCTGCGTCTACTCCCCTCTCTCTCACACATAGAGATAGATCTCTTTCAATTCATAAACCTTTAGATAAGGAGGGAAGGGGGGGGGGGGGGGGCGGGGGTGATATTTCCACGTTAATTTTTTATCCTTTCACTGATATTTATATTATTTGACAATTATACCCTTGTTTTAATTATAACTATCAAAGGATGATAAAGCTTCATCCTTTTTGTTTCAAAACCTGCGTCTACTCCCCTCTCTCTCACACATAGAGATAGATCTATTTCAATTCATAAACCTTTAGATAAGGAGGGAAGGGGGGGGGGGGTGATATTTCCACGTTAATTTTTTATCCTTCCACTGATATTTATATTATTTGACAATTATACCCTTATTTTAATTATAACTATCAAAGGATGATAAAGCTTCATCCTTTTTGTTACAAAACCTGCGTCTACTCCCCTCTCTCTCACACATAGAGATAGATCTCTTTCAATTCATAAACCTTTAGATAAGGAGGGAAGGGGGGGGGTGATATTTCCACGTTAATTTTTTATCCTTCCACTGATATTTATATTATTTGACAATTATACCCTTATTTTAATTATAAATATCAAAGGATGATAAAGCTTCATCCTTTTTGTTTCAAAACCTGCGTCTACTCCCCTCTCTCTCTCACACATAGAGATAGATCTCTTTCAATTCATAAACCTTTAGATAAGGAGGGAAAGGGGGGGGGGGGTGATATTTCCACGTTAATTTTTTATCCTTCCACTGATATTTATATTATTTGACAATTATACCCTTATTTTAATTATAACTATCAAAGGATGATAAAGCTTCATCCTTTTTGTTTCAAAATCTGCGTCTACTCCCCTCTCTCTCACACATAGAGATAGATCTCTTTTCCATCACCATTTCATTCGCTGTGAGCAATTGTTTTCCCTCATCCTCTTATTTGATCAAACAACAACAATAACTAGAAAGACTCTCAAATCAATCACCTCTCTCTTCACGATTTGAAGATGTTATGGGTTTATTTTAATCCACGAAAAACCCAAATGATTTTTTTTGGCAAACTCCGCCACCACCGCCATGGAGTATATCCTTCATCTATAATTTTGATATCAATGGGAAAGGGAACAGACCTCGAAGTAATGGAACCAAGGGAGATAGTCAAGGGAAGGACAACAAACCATGGCCTCATTTACACCATCAAATGATGCTTCCGACTACTTCCCACTTGGTGGATTTTTTTAGTTCTTTATGTAGTTGATATGTAGTCGTTTACTCTGTATGTTCGGTGAATGCATTTTTTTTGAACGACCGAGATTATATAGTGCCAAAAAAAGAGAATAACGTACAATTACATGTGAAATGGAGAAAAAGGGGAATAACACCTGGTATTTCACTATTCCAATCAATACTGTGTGATTTGTTCTTATACTTAAACAAAATTTATTATCTTTTATATTTTAAACCAAACAAAAGATGTGGTTTTGATTTCACCAATGATACTCGAGATAGAACATTCTCCCATGTTGATTTTGTGAATGTGCATGAGGCTAAGAGATGGTCATTTGTTTCCTACGAAGAAAAGCAGAGAGCGTACAAAGTTGAACCAGTTATAAATGCATGCCATTAATTAATGGATCTCAAAGCAAGAGATGTACAGTTTGGAATTCTGTCTATAAATGCACGCCATGTGAAATAGTTCATCTTGATTGGAGACCAATTGTTCAATTTAAAATCAATTGGATCGATTGTGAATGTTTTGATTTCAGTTAAACTTCTCATGGAATTGATTGTGTCCGGAGAATTGATTGTAAGGATGTGAGCTCGTCGGCTTTTCTTCCATTTAAATTAAAGAGGTGAATACAAGTGACTTAGTGAAACTTATGAAATAGTATTGTGTAGATAAATCTAGGTTTTTAAAACGAAATAATAGATTGTGTTGTTTTGTGTGTGAGGGATAGAGGAAGAAAGTAAAAATGGTATCAGGGTATAACTGTTAATAAATTTAAGGGATAATGACTTAGGAGGGTAACTACCTCTTATCCGTGTTC